AAAATATCATTTTATTATGGGCTCATACAACAAATTGATTTCTTGATTGAGCTCTGTATACGCTGACCGTGAGGGTTGGTGTGAGAGCAAAACTTCCTGTCTCATTTTTTATAAGTAGAGATATTTGCCTATCAGATTAAAACCTGTCATATAATGCAAGGGGAGCATTGAAGTACTGAATATATGGTGGTTCTGGATCCACTAAGGGTCCCACTTAAGGTCCAATGACCGATATTTCCACAGTCTCGGAGTGGCCATCCCTTGCTTCTTTCTCACCAGAGTATTTCAGTCCCAAATCCAAGGGTACAGGTAGTTTTGAGGAAGGACCCAGTTTGTTCAGTTGGGCTTCCACATTGAGTCCTTCTGGTGTGGCCTGTAAGGCCAGTGTCAAGGTCATCATAGTGCTTTGTCCATGGTGTGGTTCACCATAGGTTGAGTAGAAACAAATTTGATGAGTCTACACAGGACATAAAATTGAGTTTATTGTCCCCTGAGGCTCCTTACAACTGTTTAGCACCCCTTCCTGATGTAAGGTTGCTCATCCTTATTTGACCACCATATCCACCAATAGAAATATCAATGCCTCCTCTGAAATGTACATGCATCCCTCCCCTGGTCTTAACTGGATTTTCCAGTAAGGTTTTCTCCTCTCATTCCTGTGAAGGGCCAGTTGATTTATCACAGCCTTGTCTCAATACTGTATGGCATGAAGTGCATGGTTTTCTCCCCCTCTCCACTTCTTAAGGAAGTGACATCAGCCTTTTCGAGATAATTCTTATGAAGTGTACAAAAAGGGGGTGATGCATGGTCCATGGCTGGTAAGCAGATTTTCTACATTTTTTTGTTTGGGATTTAGCCTCTAAGATTTGGCTAATTGGTGTTTCTTCTTATAGTAGTGGACTCGTAAAATACTTGTCCTTTTGTTGTCAATGAGGGTGGCGCGCGATGGAGACCCAATGCCCATCTCTAGACAACTGGACATACCTTGCAGAGGGGGAGTGGGGAGGGAGTGGGGAGATGAGTTACTTAGGGTACAGTATAGCAATAATGAAACTCACAACCTTCCTCTAGTTCTTGAACGCTTCCTCCCCCCAACTACCAGGACCCCAGTTT